CTCGGGTCCCGGCACAGTCACGCGAAGGTGGGAGGGGAGTCGGGGCGGGGCTCTTAAAGGGCCAATCTCCAGCGGAGCGTCGGGGTAAAGGAGCTGCCGAAGCCTCGTGGGTGCGTGATTGGTTGGGTGGGGGGGCGGTGCAAAGGGCCCAGGTTTGCGTGCGGAGCTGGGCTTTTGCAAGCAAGCGGGCGCCAGAATTGTGTCCGTAGTTTGGGGCTACGCCTGTGGCAGGACACGCAGCTCCAGCGCCGCCTGGGTCGCCTGGCCGGCTGCCTCCGACGGTGTCCCCGCCCCTGCCGAGCCCTCCCGATGTAGGATGTCCAGGGAGAAAAAGCAGTATTTGTGTGTCTAGCTCCACGTGTCCCCATCTAACTACATTACCCTCCCTCCCCGCCTTTTTCCCCAGCCCTGCAAACAGCACCACCATCCGCTGGCCCAGGCCAGAAGACTGAGCCTCATCCCGCCTCTAACCTCCCGTTCCAGTCAGATGCCACCTCGTGCCCTGCACAAATAATTATTGCTCAGACGCCCACAATGTGCCAGACACGGCTGTGGACACTGGAGATTGATACAGAAGTGAACAAATTTGACAACCTCTTGCTCACTTGTAGCTTACATTGTGGGGCAAGAGCGGGTGCGGGGGAAGGGGGGAAAATGCAGAGAGAATCTCAGAAGATGAAAAGTGCTGTAGAGAAAAACAATGCAAAGAAATGGTAAGAATCAGGTGGTGGCAGATAGCAATTCAAAATAGTCTGGTTGTGGAAGGCCTCACTGAGCAAAGGACACTTAGCCCAGGCAGGAGGGTGAAGTCAAAATTTGAATTATTACACTGTACACCAGAAACTAACTCAACATTATAACTCAACTATACTTCAGGTTTTTGTAAATTTTAATTAAAAAATAAAAAAGAATCAAAGTACACAGATGTCTGGAAGAAGAGTGCACCTGGCAGAGGAAAGAGCAAGTTCAAAGTTCCTGCACGTGGTCCATGAGGAAAGGAGCAGTACCAGGGGCACTGGAAATGTGCAGTGACTTGTGACTGGAAGGTTCTCCTGGAATTTAGTGCCCCCAGGGGATGGGACACTCTTGGGGGACAGCCCCGTCCCAGGTGCAGGAAGCATCCTGCTGAGAAACATGGGGCTTCCTTTGGGTGAGATAGAGACATTGTGGGGCCTGAGTCAAGGAAGATCACTGGCTACTGTGCCAAGACCAGACTAAAGAGGTAAAGGACAAATTTCTTCACTTTCATGTCTGTCCAGCCCCACTACCACATCCTTATCCAGGTCCCCATCTTTGGTCCCTTCCAGGAGTACTAACAGCCTCCAAGCCTGAGTACCACCCACCTTTCACTCTCTCCAATTCCTTCTCCCCCCTGTGGCATCCAGAGTGGTCTTTTCAAAAATGGAAACTCCCTCCATCACCACCTTGCCCCTTCAGTAGCTCCCATCTGAACAGAAATCAGAATCTTTAGCAGAACCTACCAGGAATGCCCACCTCTACATCTAATCTCCCCTACTTTAAGTCTCAGTTAACACATCACTTCCTCTGAGAAGACTTCCCGGATCCTTTCCACAGCAAGTTACATTTCTCCTGGTCTGTGTTTATAGCACTTCTCCATGGCAATTCTCAAGACATTTGTCCCTTGCTAGGACCCCAACCCATACCTGTCACTCCTTCCTCCATGCCCTAACACAGAAAAGCAACCTGTGGGAAACAGATCTAAGCCAAGTCCTTGCAAGATATTACTAACTGGTAAAGGAGTCAAATCCAGCTGTATTATGGATGGGCCCATGACCAGGGTGATATTGAGCCCAAAGTGTTGGTGCTATAATGGTGGAATTTAGGCAACAGAACAAGCAGGAGACAAGGAAGGTATTGCTGGGTTTCCATTCTGTCCAGCATCCTTCCATTCATTTCACCTTTGCATCTCTGGCTCAGCCTGAGAAACTTTGTGGTACCCAAGAGAGGTCTGTCCTTCAATCCTAGTTGAGCTAGAGCCACAAAGAATGGAAAGAACTTGTGTGGAAGCCATGGCAAGGAAGTGGGGAACAAGGCACTTCCAGATCTACCACCCTGCTCTGTGGCCCAATCTCTCCCTTGGCTCTGAGTCCCCACCAGTGCCCTAGGTCTAGAGACTCATGGCAGCCTCCTGATTAGGGCTGGAAGATCATCTGCTGGGGATCCTGACAAGGATTCAGAAAATCCCTTCTTTTGATAGAAAATACACTGCTTTTTTTCACATTCTCCAAGGGGCTCTTGATCCCCAAAAAATCATTAGTTAATTAAACCAATTTCTCTCCCACTTCTGATCTGGAGAAACTGATACCAGAAAGGAGAAGGCCCAAGGACATATGACAAATCAAAGCAGAGCCCAGAACTCCAGCCTCTTGCTTCCAGGCCAGGGCTCCTTCCAGGACAATGACTTTTTGCTCCAGACTACCAGCAAAGTCCCCGGGGGCCAAAGGTAGACAGGGATCAGCCCCCAGGTCAGGGGCCCACTTCCCACGCCTGTCCCCACCCCACCCCCATTCTCCTGGACAAGAATCTGCTGCCCTGGGGTTACAGGGAGGCACCACACTTCTCAGCACCAAGCCCTGTTTTGGGGGACAGCTTACAAGATGGAAGAGAGCCCTCAGGATCACTGGGAAGAGAAAGAAAAAGACAGGTGAGAGGTTAGAGGACCTTGGCCTGGAGCTGAACAGCCAATCCTGGGTCAAAGTTTGCATGCCTTTGCGTGAGAAGCTCTTTGGCTAGAATTCCCTAGCGATCGATACCAGGAGCACAGAGGCAGGGGGGCTGTGTGCTGGGGAGAGAACTCTGGGGTGGAGGGAGAGAGACAGCCGAGGGTCTTGGCCCTGCAGGGTGTTCCAGCCTAAAGTCTTCAGTCAGCACTGCCGAGGGCTATGTGGCGGGGGCAAGGGGAAACAGCAGGACCCACAACAAACCCTCTACCCCACGGTGGAAGCAGGAACCACACCCAAATAGAGCCTATACTAAATCTGGAAATGCTGCAGGAGCTGTGAGCAGGCTGAGGCCCCGGGGGGGAGGTGGGGGGACTAGAGGAGAGTCCTGGAGCATGAGGAGCACAGGGAGGACACCGCTGGCATGGGGAGGGGACACGAGCTGAACGAAGCATGGGAGTGGGGGGCTGGGATAAGGCAGGCTGGGAAGAGTGGAGTCTGAATGGATGTGGAGAACTGGGACCCGTTCTCCAGCGTGTCCTCAGCCCACCCACGATCCGGGCCCTGACTGCCTTCCCCTCTCCTACCTGTGCCCAGAGAGCCAGGGAGATCCAGTTTGCAGGAACCAGGGTTCCGACACGGTAGACCCTGGCTCCCTGTCTCTCGGACAGTTCTTTCCCAGGATAGTCTTGGTCTAAGCCTGTTGTCTTGGTGTAACTATTTAAAGTGTCCTCTTTAACTCTCAAGAGTCTTAGCTTGGACAATAAATTATATGGTCACCTCAGTGACAGTGGACATGTGAGAGATTTTGTGTGCCCAGCATCCATCCTCTCTTCTTCTGGAAATACTCTGATTGTCCTTTGGGGACCATCTCACTGCTACTCTCAGCCCATAGGTTTGGTGGAGCTGACCCCACCTCAGGCTACTAGGCTGGCACATGACTCTGGCCAAGCCAATGAGAGCCCTATGGGGGTTTTAGTACAATTATTGGAAAAGGGAGGTTCTCTGTCTGCCAGGGGTGGCTAAGCTGGTTAGAAAATAATGCTGGACCTACTAGTGGTCATTTTTCAAGAAAGCACATTTTTAGGGGAAAACAGAACTGGGAGTTGAGGGGAGGGAGACAGGGAAGGAATTGAAGATACTGTGCACCTAGATCCAGTTATTCCTGAAGCCAGTGAAGTTCACCCATAGACCATCTGTTCCGTGACTCAGTACCATCACCACCTCCCCGTCTCCTCCTTTCCCTCCTCCTCCCTCTCATTCTCCTCCTTGTCTTCTGCTTCTAGTCAGAGCTGGGTTTGGGGGCTTGCAACTGAACAAAAATTATAACCAAAACCTGCAGGTCGGAGAGACTTACCGAGC